CTTTCCCTCACTGCGCACCTGACTTAACTGGCAGCCCATGTGCCAGTGTGAACTCACTTGTAAGTCATTTGATATCTCCTCAGTGTGGCAGATGCACGTGTAGGGGGTGGGATCTACTTCCAATGAACAAGTGCAGTTTGGAGACCCTTGATCTCAAGCACTGGGGCTCCTGCCAGGCTGCAATACTGAAGAGCTAACATAAAATTGTGCTGTAATTATCCTGTTCTGAACACACAGAGGATCTTTAGAATTTAGATGAAGTTTGGATAATGTGATCCCTTCCCTTTCCTTCCCTTCCTTTCCCCTCTTTATCTTTCTCTCTCTCTCTTTCTCTCTCTTTGTCTCTCTCTCTCTCTTTGTCTCTCTCTCTCTCTCTCTTCCTCCCTTTCTCATTTTGAGGTTCTGTTTGTTTGGGGTTTTTTTGGTGGTGTTTTTTTTTGTTGTTGTTTTTTTTGTTTATTTGTTTTTAACTGAGCATGGAATTAAAATTTTATTAAATGAATGGAAAAAACTTCTCTCCCTTGAGTCCAACTGGTCAGAGAAGACAATTTTTAGTAGGCAATTATCCTTTGTTATCAGGAATCTAAGAAAGTAAAAGATGGTTTATGGTATGTTGGTTTGTAACTAATAATTTTCCATTTCCATGTGCCTTTCCTGGCTGTCAGGAACACCATGTCCTATCTGATCTGGGTGTTTTCAAGTATATTAGAGTTTTACTTTGTTACTGTTTTGACAAATTTGGTGATATACCGTAGTATTCTCTTTTCTTGTAAAAATTAATTATTGAGCATGAGCAGCAGAAAATCTTTATAATTTAGTTACAGATTTTTTAGTCCACTTCTGAAGGTTTACCTAATATTCAAAAGTGCTGTGTGATAGTTACTAAAATAACTTGTTTTTACTAACAGCTTAAGCAGAAACTTCTTAGAACTTTGCTTTTCCCGACAACTTCAGTAGGAGTAGAGTGAGATATGGGTATTTGAAATATAATAATATGAATATGCTGAAATACTGTCTACTTTACTATCTAATTGTTTTGTGAAGGTGTTATGTTAAAATACAAATACAAGCACTCTGAAGACAGAGTGAGAGGAGGTGTATCCCAAAAATCTGAAGATTATGTCTGGGCATCAAGAGTGGTGGGTATAATAAGCAAGGTACACAATATTTTCCACCCACAAAATGTGACCATGCCGTAGTCCATTTCAAAATGTGCTGCTGAATAAATATTTATAGTGAATCCTGCATTTTTGGAATTAGTACCCTGATCTTTTAAATAGATCGCTGGGCAGTGTCATTCTGCTGCAGATGTATACCGTGCAATCAGCCTTATACTCACAGTGGGATACTGCTGCTAATTGCAACAGTTGTAGCTCAGAATAAGGTATCAGCTTCTCAGTGAGGTACAAACAAATTAAAGTTAAACTTAAATGAATCAATCAGGAAAAAAAAAAAAGCCAACACAACTGTTGTTGCTCTTATAATTCATTAGCTATTAACACTGATAGCACTGTAAAGGGATTGCTAATTTTCTTGTGATATATTATATAGGCTATTATCAAGTAAAAGGGAGGAGGTTTCAAATGTGACTTGGTGGCTCAGGGTCTAACCCAGCTCTTCTTTGAGCTTCCAGAGGATAGGTCCCTTTGTATAATATGACTGTTTGTTCTGTTTCTTTGTTTTCTCAAAACAGGAGGTTTTCCTGGTTTTTGCCATAAGAAAAGATTCAAAGGTTCAGTATCTGTGAGTAGAGAAGGTATTTTGTTATTGGCTCCTTCTGAACCTTCACAACACCACTGAAGAAACCTGTTGTCAAGGAGGACAGATGGAATTCAGAACTGTGGGCTTTTTTTAAAACTCCATTCTGACCACTAATGCCATAATTTTATATTTGTTCATATTACAAATAAAAGTGGGTCATAACAAGATATCCTTGAATGAGATACTCTTTTAATTAAGAGAAGCATGCTCCTCCTGATGATGAGGTGGGTTATTAGAGCACCTGTTCTGGCTATAAAACTCAGCAATATGTAACAGATCCCTCCCCACTCTGAAGAAACAATCTGAGTTAGGCTTTTGCACTGGGATTACACTGATCATGTCTTAGACTGTAGCTAAGCACAAAGAAACTTGGCATGTAAAACCAGACATAGGAGAAAATCTTCGTTGTTAAAGTTACTGACAGATCGTGTAATTTCTGTGAAATCCAATTGAACTAAATCTTTACTTGATGATTCAGCTCTGAAGGGCAGAGATTTAAGCAATTGTTTTCTGTGGCTTGTAATTGAAAGCAAACAGTGGAAATTCAGTGGGAGGTTTTTGGGAAAACCCAAGATTAGAAACTTGTTTTTCCGATAATTTCCATTTGCACAAGTAGTTAAATCTTTCTCCCATCCCTCTCCTTCCTTCACACACACACAGAGGAAAAAAAAAATGCTTTATGTATACTCATTCAAACCTTATTTATTCCTGTAGAGAGCAGGTACCTGTGTCTTACTGACCATTCCAGTCTGAATCCCTGGTTCTGTCAGGGATCCCTGCACATTGGCACTTGCCTTGTCTGAAGTCCTCCTGTTCAATGCAGCATCTGAATGGAAACTGCTCATAAAGAACATTTTCAGGGAGACAGAGACTCTGCTTTAGCAAAAGGAAAACCCTATACAGGCCCTGCCACACAACCCAGGGTTTGGTTGTATTGGCTAATTCCAAATTAGTTGGTTAAATAAAGCTGTGGAACCCTCTTCAGCACGGAAACTCATTTGTTCCTACTGTCAAACTAGTTAGTCCAGTCACTAGTGTGGCTCAGTATGGGCCAACCAAAACAATTCCCAGGCATGGTTAAGGGTTAGTACTGGCCAGAGGCCACTCTCACTGGGCAGGCTGGATGCAATCTCTCCATTTTTTGAGAGTAAGAAAGTTGAATAATATAAAGTCTGGTTTTGTGCCAACTAAGTTAGGTGCCTGCAAACCAGTCCAGTCTGTGTTTTACTTACTGATACAGAGGCAGCTAATCTGTATGC